TTATTAATTTTATTTTATTTCTGTTATTAATTTTTTCTTATTTCAAAAAGGATTGTCATTGTTTTAACTCAACTAGTGATGAGCATCACACATCCACTTGCTCACTCCCACCCGGTGGGATGGGGAGAGAATTGGGAGAGTGAAATTGAGAACACTTGTGGATTGAGATAAAGACAGTTTAATAGGTAAAGCAAAAGTTGTGCACACAAGCAAAGCAAAACAAGGAATTCATTCACTACTTCCTGTTGGCTGGCCGGTGTTCAGCCATCTGCAGGAAAGCGGAGCTCCAACACGTGTAATGGTTACTTGGGAGGACAAACACCATCGCTCCAAATGTCCCCCTCACTTCCTTCTTCCGTCAACTTCATATGCTGAGCATGATGTCGTATGGAATGGAATATCCATTCGGTCAGGTGGGGTCGGCTGTCTCAGCTGTGTCCCCTCCCAGATTCTTGTGGAGAAGCAGCTGGGAGGGCAGGAGCAGTAAGAAAAGCTGAAAAAGTGCTTGGCTTAATGCAAACATTCCTTGGCAACAATTAAAACATCAGTGTGTTATTAACATTATTCTCAGCACAAATCTAAAACATAGCCTCTATAAAGAAAGTTAACTCTGTCCCAGCCAAAACCAGCACACCTAGACAAAAGTGGTCCACTTCAAGGGAGTAAGTTTCCAGTCATCCAGGTCGCTGCTGGAAATGTAAATGGTGAATGTCTGATGCAGACTCTGTAGGCTAGCAGTCCAGGTAGAATCGTATTGCTTTTATTGTCCTCTGTGTAACTCTAGAGGTCATATTAAAATTTCTCATTGTGGTCATTGTCATTGTTAAATAAACTTCTGCTGATATGTTTTCGTAATTACTGATAAAAATATTTTTATGAAATGTTTCTTACTGCAGCAGTACATTGTAAAAAGGTTTTATTTTTATAAAAAAATATTCTTGCAGCTAACAACCATCTCCACATTATCAAACTACAGAAGATAGCTTCCTAGTGCTCCTTTAAAGAACATGCAAACATTTTAAAATGGTGTATTTTGCAGTTTTTAAATGATGTTCACCTATTTTTTTCCTGCTGGCTTATAGAGGAAAATGTGTCATATGGTAACGAACGTTTTTTTTGAAAAAGGTGTACTACACAAAGCGAACTGATTGAAATGATAAACTGTTAATGCATCCAAGCAGAGGGCATGTAAGAGATATATGTGCGGTGATAGGAGTACAACTTCAAAAAAGGTTTTTGGTTTTATTTTTTAATTTAAAATGGTGTTTACATGCACATTTCTTGTTGTAGAAGTTACTGGCATATAATCTTTAATTATTTAGTTCTGTATGTCCAGTTAGCATAGGATGCCAGGCTGGGGTGGGTGACGGTCTGAATATCTGACAAATACTTGGTTACCATTAAAGAGAACATATTACTAACTTGGAGTTCTGTAAAATGAAAACTGGCTGGTGATGGCTGATGGTATATGTGCTGCTCTAGCCGATTATTTAATTTATTGTGAGACACAAGTTGCTTTTCGAGTTCTAGCGGTAAAATGGGTTTATAAATGAGGGTTAAAAAACTGGGCATGCAACTGCCAGGATGTCTTTCAAGAGAAGTGTAAAAGCTCTTATCTGAGCAGGTGTAGCATGTGAGCAGTAGAAGAGGCAGATCTGAGGCTAAAGTATGATCTGATGCATCAACTAATCCTCAGGCTGTTTTCTTCTTTATAAGAAAACCTGTCCCGCAGTGTTTTAATTATGTTCCCTGGAAAGAAAACACAGTTTGTGTCTTCTAGACAAGGTAGTTTTCACTCCACCAAGACTTCTGGATTATCTGGTAGATGTCATTGAATCTTTAACTTTCTCTTCTGTTGGTTCAGGGACGCTTTCACACACGGTGGCTGTCATCTGCTGCTGGAGGGGTTTTTTTTAAATTTTAAAAAAATAGGCATCAGTACCTTAAGGTTATGAATTTTTCCAGTGCTTACGTATTGTTTAGATGTGGAAATAGTAACAGACGGGTATTCTGACTGTGATCCAGCAAGTACTGGAAAGAGCCAGTTGTGTTCAATTATGGTCATCTTAGTACGACATCTCTTCAGAAGAACATATGAGAGATCGTTTTAAGGTGAAAAATGCTTACCAAAAAAAAGGTAAATAAAATAACGTGCATGTTGGTGGTTTTTCCCTTCAAGAGTTTTGACTGAAGCTGCAATCTCTTCTCTCAACTTCCAGCTTCCTGAAAACTTGCTGAGCAAATATGACTGGATCAGGCAGTGGCAGCTAAAAGAGAAACTGGGCAGGAAGATGGGAGAAATAAGTGATGAAATTAAAGAATATTTAATACTTCTAAGGAAAAAGGTTGGAAAAGCATTTACTTATTCTGGGTCACATGCAAATAAGAATTACAAAGATTTTTGAATGTGGTGAATTTAGCATAAGGATGTTTTCACTAGTGAAAAAAGTCACTTTTCTTGATGTATACTGCAAAAAAAAAAAAAATCAAGGAAAGAATGTCTGTTCAGATCTGTGGGAGTTTTCTGGTCTTCCACTGCTTACATTAGCTGGAATTAATTTGTCAGTGCTGCAGAAAACTATTAGTTAGGTTTCAATGAAGAAATTAGTGTAACAGAAGAATTAATGTAACATTTTGCCTGTTATTTTTTCTATTTTTTTGAAGGAACTATGTATACTATGGATAAATGCTGTTGCTACCTTGAACAGGTCATGGAAAGAAAAAAAAATAGAATAATGGTGAAGTAATTTCAAAGGAGTAGTTTTCATTCCACATTTGTATGTTTTTATTGTAGGTTAACGTGACGAAAATGGTTGTGCCCTTGTGGTGTTAATAGTATATTACCTAGCCCCATCTTTTCCCACCTCCTTGAAACTCTGGAACCTATTTACAGCTCTTCAGTGGTTCCTGTCTTACTGTGTATACATATTATCTTTTTTTGAAGTCTTTTAAGAATATTTTAACGGCTGCAGTTTCTGAGGGTGGGAATGATATGTGCATTCTGAGTAACTGAAATGCAAACAATATGAAGGATGTAGGATTTTTGATACAGGAAACAAAAAGGTTATTATTTTATTGTTTGTTGTCCCATGAAAATACTTGTTTTGCCACCTTGAAACAATTTCCAATATCCCCTTCTTCTGTTTTGCTTAAGGACTAATTTAAGCAAAATCAAACTAACTCAATTTGACCTTGTCCTGATAAATGGGACTACAGCTGCAGAAATATTCTCACCTGTTTTTAAAAAGGTGCAAAACTCTTAAATTCGAGTGCCTATCCTGAACATCTGACAATTCACAAATGGCTTTTTACAGCTCTTGCATGTTGATACGTATTGTGTGTGTGTGTTATTGTTTTTTTTTACAGTGGAAGAATGTAAGTGAAATCAAGGGTCCTGTGGAGAAACAAGAAGCTTGTGATAAATTATTTAAAAACGAAGAGGACGAGTATAGTCTCTATGAAGCACTGAAATTTTTGATGCTTAACACCGCCATTGAATTATACAATGATGATAAAAATGGAAGGAGAGTTCCTGTCTTCTCATGGTTACTGTTTGCACGGGATACATCTAGCAACCCCTGTCAGTTAATGCATAACCATTTGAATCATATTGGTCACAGTGGAGGCCTTGAACAGGTGAGGAGAGATTGTTCTTACAGTATTATTTTCTGGTTTGACGATTTTGGTTTCAAGTGGTTTAAGAAATCATCCAGCTTTTTTTGTTCTGGATAAATGTAATGGTGTAGCGTCTGGTCTTTCATTGGAAAAAAATACAGTAGAACTGCTTGCTTGTAGAAGTCTGTAAAGGCCTTCCTTTCAAACACTGATTTTTGTCTGGCAGCGGACAGTTAGGGAGCATTCTTTGGAAGCATGGTATTCTATTAATACTAACACTTCTATTAGTCTCGTAATTGTTAGCTTTCTTAAAATATCACAATAAAAGCTAATAAGTTATGAATGTGTAGTACATATAGTTGGTGTATTCTCATAAATTAATGACAATTACTGCTTTATACATTGCAGAAATGATATGCATATAACAAAAAAGCCCCAAAAATTGTAGTGGTTAACAAGCTGAATAGTCTGAATGATTTTAGAAATATCCTTTTAAAAAAATCCCATTGATTCCCACATTACAAGTGTGGTACTGCAGTTAAATTCAATACTTAATTATAGACACTAGAAACATGGAATTACCATGTTTTGTTTCTGTTTATTGGCTTAAAAATCTGACAACTTGTATAGATGAGACAGGTTGCTGTTACTGTTAAATTAGCTGATTCATGGGTGACTTTTTTGCTGCCTAGTTTAATCAGTAAGTAATGTTGTCTATTTTTGTGCTGACAAGATTTATTTATTTCAGTGATATTCTTTATAAATTGTTATTTAGAACAGGATATGCTTGCCATTGTAGTAGGCAAGATAGAAGATTTTCCAGCTTATTTCTCTGAATTCCTTCTGATACCAACAGGCTTCGTAAGGCTTTCCATCTACTTTTGATTTGGCCAGAGAGTTCAGAGTACCCTCTAAGAGGGAAAGGATCATTGCCTGAAGACCGTTCTTGTCTGATTTAGTGACTTAACAGGAAGAATGTGACACGAGAGAATGTCTTTTCCACCTGTTTGTGGCAGTAGGGAAGTGGGATTCTCTGTATAAAGTAGCTTTTCTTTAGGACTGATATCCTACTATGCCATTGTTGGGTCTGAAGAGCTCCGTGTTAAAGGTATGGTATCTTAGAGGTGTATGATGAAGATATTAAGTTAGAGATGCTCGTGTATTTGCATTTTCACTTCATATTTTTTTTCTTTGAAAGATCACATCTGATAGGTATTAGTTTAGTATTTTTATGAGAAATACCTTGTGAAAGGTATGTTTAATTTTACACATCATATTTCTGCTTATTTCCAATGTAGGTGGAAATGTTTCTCCTTGCTTATGCTCTGCAGCATACCATCCAAGTGTATCGACTGTATAAATATAGTACTGATGAATTCATCACACTTTATCCCAGTGACCCGGAGGAGGGCTGGCCTGTGGTGACTCTCATCACTGAAGATGACAGACATTATAATATTCCAGTCAGAATGTGCCAAGAGACTGTCCTGTAAACAAGTGGTTTTTGGCAGACAAACCTGTGCTGCTTATTGAGGTTTCCAGTGCTGTTTTGAAACAAGATGATGATGAAGTCTGCGTTTGAAACAACTTGAAATCCATGTTTACATCTGAAATGATACATCAAATAGGTACTCCCTTAGAGTAAAAATTTTTCAAGTATGGCTTTTGTTGCCCATAAAAAAAAATAGAAAAACTTCTGTAATCCTTTTTTTTTTTTTTTTTTTTTTTAAGGGCTTACTCTGAATAGGAATGCAAAAACTATAGATTTACTTTTTTAAGATAGGTGAGGCTCTGTAGTAAGACATGAGCTGACCTCCTGCTCCCTGAAATAATGAGATGATGTTGAATTGGAATTTCTGGAAACATAAGCTGGTAGTGTCCTCGCTGATATTTGTAAGGCTGCTTAGAAGCAATTTGTACAAATCTTGGGTCTCAGGAAACACTATAATTCTGTTGCAGTTGGAATTTAAGGCTTGCCTTGGTTTATGCTATACGAGAGATGTTATTTAGTTTTCTAATGCTTTGGGGTTTTTTTCCTGACATTAATATCTCTTATTTGGAAGCTAGTCTTCTGTTACACTGAAAATGAAGAGCTCTTCCTCTTTCAGCCCCTTGAGAAGATCATGGCAAAGAGACTTGATAATAAGGGAATATAAAAGTTATTTGTTAGTAGGTCATACACAGAATTCCCTCTTCACTTACGATAGCTTATACAAAATACCCACGTGCCCACTAACTTCCATGTCTGCCCATATTACTGTTCCTATAATATTAACCCTTGCTGGTAGCTGTTGTGGAGAACATCAGGTTTTTCATTTGTCCAGGGAGTGCAGTAGATTGAAGTAAACTTCTGCTGCAGCTTCTCCACTCTGTAGGAATATGTGGGAGGTTCTGTTCCTGCTTAGAATTATTAATTATGCTTTAAATTGAAGGGATACAGAATTTATCAGATGCTAGGAGTGGTGACGTACCTTAAAAAAAATAATTAAATAATGAAAGCTTTACCTTTTAGTTTAAAGTAGAAGTATGCCGTACAGATGATCCTTGTAACAAGAAAGTTGAGTTAAATTAAATGCTGCTCATACACAGATCACTTGGCTTCTCTTACAAGGCCTTCTTATAGAAAAGGGATAAGATTATAAAAACTACTTTTCATTCAGATGTTCTTGAGGAAATAATATGCAAAACTTCAGATTCTCCTATTCACTTAAGGTTAGTTTGTTAACTTTTAATGTGAACACACACAAGGAGAATGTGTATTCGCAATATTCTAAAATGTGGTTTAGACACATAGTAATGAGGTCTACTGTATCCTCAGTGTTGTATTTATCATGTTATGTTTACCTTTTAAAACAGCTAGTTTGGTCTGTTACTGAAGATTTCTGGGAGCTACAAGGGAATAAAAATAAATCAATTCATCTGGCAGTATTTTGTTTCTTGTTTTATGCCATGTTCTTTATAGCTTTATATTTTTGAGTTTTAAATTTTGAAATCCTTGTTCCAAGTTAGTTATTTCCTGAAAGCTGCAAAGCATAGTTAACGTTATGTAAAACAGGTAATTATCGGCTTGCTGCTTGCACATAGAATCATAGAATGGTTTGGGTTGGAAGGGACCTTAAAGATCTTTGAGTTCCAACACCCCTGCCATGGGCAGGGACACTTCCCACTAGACCAGGCTGCTCAAAGCAACATGGACCCATGGACAGCAAAAAAAAAATCCCTGAATTACTGTTATCCAACTATTTGGGAAAGAAAAATAAATAAGCTTTTACAACTTAATGAACTCTGATAGAAAAGTTGTAGTGATGATTTAAATAACTGAAATTATTTAAATCTTTATTTCTTTTAATTGTCATCTATTCTTGAGATTAAAACTAATCAACACCTGAAAAAGATGTCCTTGTCATACATGTAGAGCAGCAGCTCTGAATCCTCTAAAGCAGAGGCTTTTTAAGGGCTGAGTTTGCATCTGTTAAGTATGTAAACAATTCACATAATTGGTTTGTGTGTTGAATGAAGGTGCAGGACTGGTCACGAGGTACATGTACACCTTAAGTGATGCATTGTTCCTGCTGCAGAAGTTGAGTAAAAACAGAAAAGCTGGTGCTTTGTATTTTCCATCCATATTTTAGGGACAAGCAATGAGTCTGTACTGTGGTGTGCAGTATATTCATTTAACTTAAATTTTAATTATAAAATGGACAGCTGACAGTTTTTAATCTAGACTTACAAAATGGATAAATACTGCTTTTCTGTTGGGTCCCCTACCCATATTCTTCTGAATAAACTGAAAGAGTCAATAAATTAAATGAAGTGGAAGTGAGGGATGGAAAAGGAAAAGAGGTCAAATAAATTCTGCCCCTTACAGCAGCTATGATAAATTTATTCATATGTACTTGATCAATGTACTAAAGGAAACGGATGCTTCATTCAATACCCAGCATACTTTGTAAGGTACAGTCCAGATTTTTAATATGTGAGCTCCTAGGACTTAAAAGAGATGCGAAAGTTCCCTCTGACTGTTGTAGTTAGTGTGCTTGTTGTGCAAAAAATCCTTCATCCACTTTAGGCCCATCTTTAACATTACTGTTTCGTCCAACTTCTGCCCTTTATACTTTTTGGAGAAGGAGGTGTGTGTTCTTCAGAACCATTTCAGCATACTTTCAGGTATTAAATTGAAACATCCTGCTGTCTGTCACAGTGCTTTGACTTGAGCTGTCTGGCTTTTTAAAAAGCATTTATGTATTTTTCACTAAAGACAGTTACCGTCTACACTAAGCTTTTATTTTGCCTTTGTTTGGTCTCCTAGTAAGAAAGATGATGTAAGTTTAATGGATACCTGTCGTCCAGCTTCCTTTCTGTTGGTGGAAGGGTACACCAGAAATTCTTCATGTGAAGGAAAACAGAGGTCTGGGTGATCTTGCTGGACTGCGTGGAGGGGAACAAAATTCTGTTGTACCCTGTGGGAATAGTTGGCTGTGGGTAGAGACGTGCTGAGCTGGTGCTGCAGCAAGCAAGGTAGCACAGCTTAGGCTGGGTACAGCTCTGAGAAGCTTGCGCTGGAACTGGCCTGATGGTGTCCTGTGGGAGCTCACCCCGAAACGCAGCTGTGCCCCATGGAGGTGCAGGTGTGTTTGGTTCAGAACTGTAACTTTATTCAGATAGCTGAGTCAAAGCTTGACGAAATCTTGGCCAAGTTTATTTTTGTGTGCCAGTAACAGCCCTATCATCAAAAACTAGAGGAGGATGGAGAGCAAGGTGGGAACTTGTTTCTCACCCAAACAGCAGACATAGTCATGTATCCCATTTTAGGTGCTAGAGGAAGTGGGGAGAGGGAGCTCTTGCATTGTGCATCAAGTACAGAGCTTGATTCGTGATCTCATGTTCCTAATATTTAATAGTGCCTGTTGTGCGGCCCCTGCATCTTGTTGTCTTCTGGACATAATTGCCGTTTGTTTCCCCAGTATGCTAGCCGGCAGGATAGGACCAAGAATGTTTGAAGATTGCCAAACATACTTTATGAATGGTCCCTTTTTTGGTAACAGTGGAAGACAACAGGCGGCATGTTCTGAAAGCTTGCTGCTAGAAGAATAATTGTGCTATGACATCAGCTAATGTGCTTCAAGCTGGACAGATTCAAATAATATTTCCATTTATGAATTTGTTGAGGAGGAGAACCTCAACTTCTAAGAAATTGAAAGGAATTAATTCCACAGAGTTAAAAGTGAAATAGGGAAGGCTTACCATGGTAGAGGCCTCTCAGGAAAGGTGGCAATCTAGTACCTTCTCTCCCGAGAATTTGTTTTCTGCGTGGGTGCTGATGAGTTGCTCTTATTTCTGTTCATGACTTATTTTTGAGTTGGTGGGGTGCCAGAAAACCACTCCAAGATGTACTGACCCATGGAAGAACTAGTCAGTACTGACTACAAATTGTTTTGTCAGGGCTGTCAAGTGAATACTGTGGCATGCCAAGGACGAGTGTCACAACAAGAAGTCTTGTGTTTCACTGAACATTCACTAGAAATGTTCAGTTCTAGTCTACAGCTGACCCAGGTACACACTCTTGGTGTCTAGGTGGCTTTGCAGAGGAGCCCAGGACTTGACCCACACCCAGAGCAGAGCCCCAGCCCCAGAAACCAGTGTGTGCTGATGGGTGTGACTGCAGGCGAGGGGGAGCCTGGCAGGACTGCACATGGAGAGCCTCCCTTCCAAGGCACAGCGAAGGGGTCTGCTGACTTGTCGCTTCTCCTTGGTACTCCAGCAAACGCAACACGCATTTATGATACATAAATACCAATCACACTTGGTACATGTAATATCACCAAAATGCTTTTCCTTTTGATCTAGTGATCATGAAAGAACATGATTTAGCAGCATCAACTTACCTTTATAGACTCATGCAAAGGAATATGTTAGTTAAAATGAATAGTGCATAGGTAGATGAAAGAGATTTTGAAGATGTGTGGAACACTGTGAAATGAAGTGGTAAGAGACTTGAGATTTGTATTTCTTTGATTTTTTTAATCTTGTTGAATATCAAATATTTCATCTGTTTATGTCTTGAATAAGAATCTGCTAGTAGGGGTTGAAATTTGTAGTAAGCCCTCTCTTTGGTTTCTGAAGTATCTGGCTTTGTTTATGTATTCATCCAAACCTTCAGGTGATGTATTGATATATTTTGAGTCTTCACAGCCAGAATAATTTCTGTAAGAATAAGAGGCTTAGCTGAGACATGCTGTGTGTTTCCCGAGCAGTGTTTCTAGGATAGCTTACTCTCTTTACACAAACACAAGGCTATGAAGTGTCACGACTAATGTATGTTGAGAAATAGTGAGGTTGGAGTCTCAGATTGTTCAAGAACAAATTAAATAACTTTTAAAACATGTCAGTCTGTTAGTTTCCAACGCCAACATTTGCAGGCGCACACAGCATATGCTATTTTTACTGTCTGTATTATAGAGGGCAAAAAACCCAGTTCTAGCCTTAGATATTTTATAAGGATTTAAAGTGCTTAGAAAAACAGAATAAACATGAACATGATAATAGTCTTTTATTACTGCCTA